GCAATCAGTCAGAAAAACCAAGCAGCACCATTTATTGCTCTGGCAGAGAAAAACTTTAACAAGATTGGGCATGTTAATGTCTCTTCCTAGGGTAAATGATAAAGCTAGCAACAGAAAGGCTACAGAAAACCTTCATTTCAGGACATAGTAGTACCTCTAGGATACATTATATAAATAAATTAATGCAAGATTGTTTGTAAACTATATAAACATCCAAGAGCACCACAGGAAAAACAAAGTCTCTCTACCTGCCAGGGTAATAAAAGAGAGAACTGAATGGCCAGTGATCAAACCCTGTGCTCCCTCCTGCCACCCTTCTCCCACAGAAAAAAGCTGAGAGCTCCCATCTATTTTCTAGAGGAATAAACCTAAGGAGCATGTGCACATGTTGGGAGTGGGCAAGAGGCAATATTTATTATTTATAGATCTACAGTTCTAAGTCAAGGTTAATTAATAAGTTCCCTCTACACAGCTTTCCATCTATTACCTCTGAAACAGCTTTCCATTCTGTTGTCTGTAATCTTTCTTAATACCATTTATAGTTAAACTCCCTTAATCTGAGTATCTTCCTCAATCCCCATTCCCCAACTAGACACTCAAGTTTTAACATCATTAAAAAGAAACCAGCATATACAACTATGTCAAGTATACAATTCAGAGTTTTCCATTTAAAAAAATAAATCTTTAATTAGAGGCACAAACACTGAAATTAAACAAGGAGTGAAAGCCAGATTTGTCATAGTCTGTAATTACTTTTCTAAACTGTTGAGTCAGACTCCCCTGTGTTGCATGAGGTTGTGCTAATTATAAAAGAAACCTCTCACATTTACATTATTTACAATTAGATCTTCAAGTAAAGTACAATTTACAATTCTATACATGGATCAGATAATGAAAAAGTTGTCACAGGAATCACACGTAAGTAGTTTAACATAGCATGAAATTCACAGAAAGAACAGTTTATTTTTATAGCATAGCTATAATCTTTATTTTGAAACCAGCTATTTCTAGTGGCCAACCATACAGGTCAGCTTCATGATCCCAATCACTTCAAACCTAGGCAATTATGTACTTACAACCACCCCAATGGAAGGCAGAAAAACTCAAATCCTAGCACAACAGCAAGACAGCAACTACTAAAATCACTTCAGAACCCCACAGCAGCATCTCCATACAGCTATCTCAGCAAGACCACAGTGTTTGCTACAAACAGACACACACTTAGAAGATGCAGGACTCTGCCCCAGCAAGTAGCAATCACGGAAATAAATTTGAACTGTTTACTAACTGAATATAAGTTCAATTACTATAATGGTGGTAACAGAGCCAGTTTTTTTGACACAGAAAGAGAGAAATAATATTACATTTTTTACTCTTCATGCCTACGAAGCTACAAACTTATTGAAATAGTGTATTTAGTTGAAATCTGTATTTCAAACAATTATTTAAAAACTAAAGACTGGGAAAAATCTCCTAAAATAAAGAAATTCATCTGCTTTATTACTGCAGATAAATTTAAGTAACTCGATCTCAGTATAAAAATTCTCATGTAGAGGAAAAGTTATCTACCAGCAAACAGGTTCAAAAACTCCAGTGGTTTTCAAAGTATCATAACATCTAGAAAGTGAAATTACAAGGAGTCAAACCAGCATGATTATGTAGATTTGAGAGAAAAATATCTGGTACCATCTTTTAAAGATGTAGTAGAATGCATACCAGTTGAATTTTTTAAGTCAAGATTGCACACTGTCAGAAGACATATGCTTTTAGTGCAAAAGAAGATACGATGTTGATAACAGCATTATTTGCTCAGACCATTCTGATATGCTTGAAATCAAACCACAGAATCATACCGTATCTTTGATATTATTTCCAAAAGAGGACAATCAAGCGGATCATAAAGGCAAAAAAATAAGAAACCCTTAAGCAGAAAGCCATACTGACACAATCAGAGAACCAACTCACGTGACTACCTGCACAGCTCTATAGAAAGTGATGTAAAACTCAGCATGCTTCTATTAGGAAACTATTTCATATAGTCTTAAATACAAACTATTCAGATAACATTAACCTATTTTCCTCTCTCTGACTTTAGAACAACCCTTCACTATGTATCGAGATAGCAGACTGCAATCAAAACTATCGGAGTTTAATTCTAGCAGCTTTAACTCAATGGTTTTTTATCAGGGGGTATATTTATCTAAACATATTATGTCTGCAACACAGTGGAATTTTTTTAAACAGTTTGTGGAACAGTAACATACGACTTTTTCTGCCTTAGTACTTAACCCCTAAAGTACTTTTCAGTTATTTTGAAGCATTCAAGAGTTAAGTCAAACAGTATACACCGAGATGAATAACTGCATGTGCTAAAGAGAAAAAGTGATTGGGAAACCACAAATAATCCTGCTTAGAAAAAGGTAAAGAAAAAAAACCCTAGATGAAAAAAGAATTTCTATTCATATTTTTGTCACTCAGTAGGAAAAATTTGTTTAAAAAGTTTTATACTTTAAACCTGATTTATTTCATAGCATTTGCTTATATATTATGAGTATCATTTCATATTAATATTATGAATGGTATTTTTATTATCATTGATCTCCTACCTTGGTATGACACCAAGCAATATTCCTTTCATATTCTCTGAAGAAAGTCTCATCCACAAATACCAGTAACCTGCTTTGTTTATTAGCAGGAACAGGAAAGAGAAACTGTGCCTTTAGTTACAGTGTAATTCCAGCATACTAAAACTCTCAACTGAGGGATGATTTATGTTTAGACATATCTCAAACCTTCTGAAACACTCAAGCAGGTCAAGAGATGTTTAGCCTAAAAGTCTTTAAGTTTCTAATCTCAGTATGTGCAATCAACAACAATTCTTCAACGAACTGACAGAAACAGAAGAAATACATCCTGAAGACTAAGATGTCATTTTTCCCCCCAAACACTTATTCTTCAATCTTAAAAAGAAAAAAAAAAAGGAATATAGAGAACTTGAAAATATTCAATTAGAAGCAGAAACAAATTTAAACACTTGATATAACTGGAGATGACTTTCCAAAAAAGAAAACCAGTGTTTATCAGGTCATCTATTAATTATGAAAACATAAATCCTTAGGCAGAATCAGTTAATTTCTTTCAGTCTTATCTATTTTGCCAAGCCACCAAATTCACTAGTATGATAAAAGCTGTCAGGAGTCTACAGTTCAGGTTGCCTATTTTAATTACCAGGATTGGTAATCTAGCTGTGACATCAGTGTACATGCACTGAAACAAGCCCAGGAGACTTTCAGCAATTTTCAAAATTTCAGAGAGCCCTTGTGTTCTTGCCAATACAAAAAAGCATCAGTACTTTTTTTTTTTTTTTCTTAAATTCTTTTGCATTTTCAGATGATCCTCCTCCTTTATAAAATTCAGGTGATAGACCACAGAGTAGAAAAAGGAAAATATTACCTACTTGGCTTTTTTTCTCATCAAATCACTTGAGTAACGCCAATGATTTTCATAACTATAGTAAATACAACAAATGGCAAAGCATTTGCTCAAAGCAACTGAAAAATAACATATATAACCTGTAAGAGCTGTCAACCTTAACAAGAAAACCCAGTTGCGAAAGGTGCTTTTCAATACGTTGGTTTCATTTATGAACAAAAGCAGGGCCTGACAGTGTTCAGCCTACGCACATGACAACAAGGCAAAGGACAATCACAAAGTAATATCATAAGGTTTTCTGATGTAAATGTTTCTCAGGGAAATAAGTTGGGGTTTTTTTAATAGCAGAACTGATAAATGTAATTACTAGCAGGTCTCTTAACCTTGCAAATAAGACAAGGTAAAAAAAGAATATATAAGTAACAAGAAACAATTTTCCACTTAGTCATGAGTTGTCTCCCTTAAGCTACTTTTCTGCAGTCTTGTTAGAAACTTAAAATAAATCCATATAGAGAAGGTATCTTCTGAATTTTTGTCACAGAATCCTTTCTGTTGGTTAATCCTGCTAAAACTTACTTTCAAAATACACAGTAGTTAGAACTTCTTCATTACATCCAGTTACTAATTGTGACGAGCAGCTACAAATGGCTCAAGACATCAATCCCCTCTTTTTTCTTTTTCCTTAGAAAAACCCACAAAACTATGACTTCTGTCTAGCTGCAGCAAGAACGAACAGATGTCACATGAACTATCCAAGTTTCTATAAATGCACAGAATACCCTGGACTTTGTCATGTACCATACTCCTAATACTCCCGTGCATACAAAAAATGTGCTTTGTGCAAAATAAATAAAATAAAAACCTGCAAATTTCTTTGAAGAAAAAAGCAAGACTTCTGCTTAGTCTTTCAGTCTTGCATCTACAGTATACTTTACTCATTATTTTATACTTTTGAGCAAAAGTAAAGCTGGATCTATGAAAATTTTGGAGGGAAAATAGGCTAGACAAACATCATATGGTATTCTCCCACAGATTTCACTTACTAGTGTTTAAAGAACCTGCAACGTCTGTTCGCCACAGAAATAAAAGGACAAATAACTCGAGTCCAAAAATTGTAAATATTTTTTGCCTCAAATGATCTGTTAAAAGAAATTAAAACCATTAACACAAGTAATACTCTTCCCTTCAAAAAAGAACACATCTTGAAGCTAAAGCAGTAAGTACTCAGCTCTACTGCTGATAGTTTCCTAGATTGAAATGATTCAACAATAATCATTAAATATCATTCTTTTAAGGAAAAAAAACTTCATACTGCTATGTTTACCACTGGTCACTATCACTACTTGCCTTCAAGAAAGATATCTGGCTTACTCCTTGGAAGCCTGATTAAAAATGCTTTAAGTTATACTCAGCTGTTTCCTTAAATTCAGCATGTTCTGTTATGCTTTTTTTTGCACTAGAATAAAAGCATTGAAGAAGAGACTTGAAACTTATTTTCAATTGCTGTAAATACTTAACCAGATAGTCAGAACGTTCAGATCACCAATGAAGACATGCAAAAAGGATATGCTCATCTTTTCTACAAACTTATCGTGTTCATCCTGTGTTTTAGGGAAATTCTCAATATCTTTTTCTAGGCGCTGGATCTGATGGTTCATAGAATCAAGGTTGCTCTTCAGAGTCTGGGCTGAAACTGAAAAAAAAAAAAATAATTACCATGAGTGAAAAGATTTCAGAAAGTCTATCAGAAGAAGAAAAGACAATATCAGTATAGTCTTAAGGAGAATGATTCCATTAAATACATTTTCCATTAAGTACACTCACAGTTTTCTGAATTACTGCTCATGCAAATCCTACTCTTGATAAAAATTAAGTGAAAATATCTAATGTAATATACCAGATCATCATATTTAATGTTGAAATGTCACCACTTAATTCTACCATTAGTTCAAATTATTCAATTTCTATTTAAATTTATTGATAAAAAAAATCTAATATTTCATTCTTTTAAATCTAATGCAAAGATTTAAAAGTAACTAAAGTTCAAAGAGATTTTACCTTATTAATGTATGTAGTTAGGTAAATGAATGATCTTATTAATGCATGTACTCTGCCACAGAAATGATTCAAGAAATAGACATGGAGAAAAGATCAAATATTTTTCTCTTATTGAAATTGAACTGATTTCTAGAAACCAGTATCTGTGTAATCCTGTTAACATCAAAGGTAGGTCTGAATTATCTACTGCTAATTGAAAAGAAGCAAAGGACTCCCAGTACAGCACCAAAAAAAAAAAAAAAAAACCACAAAACCAAACCAAACCAGGCTACTCTAAAGAAACACTGCTTACTCTGTCATGCCATTCTTATACAAAACACTATTTCTATAAATAGCCACATCATGAGAGAAACCACCATTGGAAATCAAGACATGATTGTTTTGAAGGTGAAGCAATGCCACACTACAAAGAAATTCCAGAACTAGAGGAAAAGTGACAGAGAGTCTCTGCAGAGAAGGCCCTGGTCCAATGAGGATATTAAAACAACTGAACCCATAAGATTGAGTTTTATGAGATAATCCATAAAGTCCACTTACTATTCTCAATTGAATCATCAAGAGCAGCTTGACAAGCAATACCTCTCAAAGATGCATTTTAGAACCAAATTCAATCTTCTATTCCTTCTCTCCTCTTGTATAGTTGACAAATGCATGGTTTCAAGAACAAGCAGACAATCTCTACACCAAAGAGCACTGTAACATTTGCACCCTGTCCTTCCTCTACATTGAGTAAAAAATAATTTGCTCCAGAGGCAATTTATACTGTGCAAACTACTTCATGTTTAGTACCACTGCATATAATCCTGGTCAATTCTTAAAAAGACAGTGCCAAAAACAACTTTTGATATGTGGAGCCTGAGGTGAGACCATCGAGTACATTATCTGCTGTTCAGGAACTGGCCAAGTCAATGCTCTCCACTGATGCTGACAGCTGCTCTACAAAGCCAACGTTGTAGACTTGCATCCCAGATAACCCAGAGATTTTTTGTGTGGTCAAGTTAAGCACCTGACATTTTTAAGTTACTTCTGCTTTTCATTGTTTCTGATGGTGAGACATTTGTACAAAATTTGCATGGAATATTTTTCAAACGAATGGTTTATTTTCCTGTTCCCCCGTAATCTAAAAAATTGTGCTGTGACTATGTGAGATTAAGTAGTAGCAGGAATTTGATTCAAGATGGCTTGAAAAACAGTATAAAGGAAATAAAAATCCTACAAATAAAGCAGCTGTTCCCAGAACAAAATCAATTTTACATGTTTCTTAACTAACAATTCATATTACCACTGATAAACCTTTCACAAGCAAGCTCAAATACACAAGGCACCAGTACAACTGTCTTTATCAGAGACATAATCCTCATTTTATTTTCAGTTTTTTCTACTTTACACTGGTGGCCAAAGGAACTACTAATCATGTAGACTAAAAATTATAGTGAAAGTTTTTTAACCTTAACTCAACTGAGGGGAAAAAAAAGGTAAATCTCTACTGACCACAGCATCTTTGGAGCTATTAACTTAAGATTCGAGAGTTAACCTTGAAATCTACCACTAAAGCAGTCTGAGTAATAAACACTGTCAAAGCTTTTAGGTTATGGCTGCATTTGTCTAATCATTTGATGTTTTTGTCAGAAAAAGAGCACCTATTTTTATTTGAGCTGAAAAACTTGAATTACTATATTTTTATAGGCTGTTAAAGCAGTTAGATAGGAAGACAAACAGCACTGAAATAAAATGCTAGAGCTGAAATATAAATTAGGGGGATGCAAATAATAGTTTTGTTCATAAAAAGAATTAGTAGCTGGTAAGTAAAGAGGAAACATAACAGATAAAGTTTAACTCCTTTCAGTCACTTAAAAACATTTGAATGCATGACCACTTAGCAAGAGTAGTTTATTTTTGTCTGAAATGTAGAAGCATGCAAAAATTCAGCAAGGAATCACTAATAAGAAGTCTTAACTTCTGTGATTACAACAGAAGAGACGTGTTTGCAGTAACTCCACTTTATAAAACTATGTTCAGAAAACAGTTCAGATGCATACTGACTTAAAAAGTGTGAAAGAACTCTTTGCAAGCACTAAGGCTGCGCTACAAAGCTCTGCTTCCCAGAAATACTTCTATATTCACACTAAATTATCAAAAAAACATTGTACAATATAATTTTTGTTTGCCTTTTTTTTTTCCCTAGCCCAGGAAAATGTACAAGTTTCTGTTCAAACAATTTATGAATTTGTTTTGCAAGACAAGCTTAAAAAAAACCCAACGTAATAGAAAACTTATATATAGGCTATAGTAAAATATCTGCATTTCTTCCCACAAACTGTTTCATTAGAGATTTACTACTGCAGTCATGTGAAGAGGCAGCAACATGAATACCTTTTACTCCTTCAGGTAAGATGATGTAAATCTCCTAAAAGTCTTTCAAGGTTTTAATTCATGAAAGCACAAACCCCACTTGCAGCAAAACTTCATTTCTTTGAAACCATTCCACAACTGCACATGCTGAAGAGACTGTCTCCATCACTCTGCCCCTCAGAGCTGGTGACCCCAAGGCAACAGCTTGTTCACCTTCATTTTGCACATCGTTTCACATGAAAATTAGGCGTCTAGGAGAACTAGGCTAAAAATCTACATGACAGGTAGCATTTAGTCTTCAGTGGCACAGAAATTCACAGTACTTCTTCACTGCTCAAGAACTACTACTGAGAAAGACTTCTCTGTATCAGCAATTAAATGTTGTTCTATTTAGTATTGCAGGAGAGAGCAAACAACTAAATCCAGTACAAAAACATCTGATTTCAAGATAGAAACGAGACAAATACTACCAAAGAGGAAAAAGAAGAAAAAGAACAAGCAAGCAAAATGAAACCAACCAACAACGACTAGAATAAAACCCCTCTAATAACCCTCATATGATCCAGAATGTGCAGTCCCAAAAAAAGGAAGCAGCCTATAACAAGCCTGAATATTTCCCTCCTGTATGAGCAGTAAGGAGAATTATTTACCATGTTTCAAAAGTAAAATAAATCAACAGCAATAAACAATCCACTTCTCCACCCTCACAGCTTTATAGGACAATTAAGAGCCCCATCCACAGTGGAAAAGTCAGCACAGGGATAAACAGTCAATAGGGATGTTTGAGAAGTCAAAAGAAAGTAAAGTTTGCTGAGACAGGGAATCGTGGAGGCAAATGGCATAAAGTTTAGAAAAGGATTATTTAGATTCATATATCACAGGTCCATAAACAGATATCAAAAAAGAATACGCAGGGATGTAACTTTTAATACGTCTGTGAGACCATGTGCAGAAAGTGGGGGGAACAGACTGGAGGAACTGCAACGTCCTCCCTGAGCAGCGTATCCTGCTGCCAGCACCAGACAGAGCTCAGGACCCATCAGGACCTACATCTGGACCCCTCTTCAAGGCCAGAGAGGGGAAAAAAGGCAACAAGATTTCTCCATCTGTACCAGACTGGCCTCTTCTTTAGCAGTACTAACAGGCCAGTTTGCAGAGAGATGCTGCAGCTCTGAGGTGGAATGAAATACAGCATCCTTAACACGTGTACCCCAAACCATTATAATAGAAGAATTCAGGAGACAAGGTAAAAATCTGACACCAGAAAATAAACATGGGTGTTTTAACTAACTAAAGCATTATCACACAGGAATTACTATTAGTGTATAGGACTAATATGAACAAGATGAATATGAAGTTACATGTATTAATATATTGTCAGATAATTTTTCATGTCAGTGTAAGACTAACACAGGTGTCTAGATTAATCAATATTCTCTCTGCACTAATACTGACTGAAGGTCAGTTAATCATGCATCATTAAATCTATGACTGATTAAAAGATTATTTTGTATATTAGCATGTCATATTGACATGAAAGGTGATATTTTTTTTCCCCTATATTAATTCCTGTTCTGTAAAAAAAAAAAAAAAAAAAAGGCATCAAATCCCATCCATTTAATTTGGAGAAAGCAGTTGCACAGACTGCACACTAAGGAAGGCTTAGTGGATGTCTGGTAGATCACTTCAGTCCTGGAAAAATGCTACAAGGAGTTAATCTCCTGTTAATGTCAAGTGCTAGCTAGTCCCCACAGTCAGGCTAAGCATTATATATTTACAATAATACAGTAATAGTACTAAAGGAAAGACTAATCCTTTCTAAAATAAGATTGCATCAGACTGAGTCCTCCCCTTCAACAAGAGGTGAAATGATACATTGTGATTAGGTGCAGTGTCTCTTGCATAACAAATTCAAAGGGTCTCTGATCATGATGCAGAAGAGGAATGGCCACGTCCACGTTTAATAAAAACTCTAAAGTGAGAGCGAATGATATAAATTACTTCAGCAAGCAAAAGCAAGTCTATATGCAGCAAATGAGCTAGTGGATTTGTAAGTCTAGACAGTATTTGTAACATAACTACATTTTGAGCATACTAATGATTATTTATGTCTTACTGCCTGCAGGCAGATAGAAGTACTCTTTCACAGGTCTGAAAAAACAGTTTGAGGGGAAATGGGTGAGCAGTATGTAATCTGCAGAACTTACAATCATTGATTACTCAATTCATATCACTAAGTAAATTTATATTTATTAAGAGAATAAATGTCCTGTTGGAGTTAGG